ACTCCAGCCTGGGAGACAGAGTGAAACTACAACTCAAAAAAAAAAAAAGAAAGAAAAGAAAAGAAAACCACTTCAGCTTTGGGAAATAAATCAGGAGGCAACAGGCAAACATATTCAGGTTTAATCAATTCTCATCTACCCAAAAAATGAAAAGCAAAGTGATTGGTCCAATTCTTATTGACTGAGAAAAAAATAAAAAACATTCTCTTAAAGCAGAGAATGGAAGAAAAAGCATGAATTTGAAGTCTTAGGTTGAGATTTCAAAATTTACAAAAGCCAAATTTTCTTTAATGGTCACTTAAGGTTCTGGATCAAGTTGCTAATTTTCCCAGTGTTCCAAATTATTTTCAGTTGTCCAAGAAAAAACAATGAACAGCCTCAGTTACCTGCTGCATTCGCACATTTGCTCTGTCTTATTCAGCGTAACACTTCTAGTGACCCATGGTTTCCTTGAGCCCTCTGATTTTGAAATGTATCAGTGGGGAAACATTATTACAAGAAAAGGAAGGCTCGTGTGGAGCAAATTCCAGCCTCTTGCTAAGATGAGACTGACCTCACATGAGATCATGCCTCTATTTCTGAACCATCGCCCATTCTTTAGGTGCCATCTTCCTTATTCCCATAACACAGTAGCAGTCTTTTTGACACTTAAAGTCAATCTTTAAATAGATATTTTGGAAGTAATCAATGATTTTGAAGCCTGAGTATTTGTTTTTCTTTAAGCTCAAAATAGGAATTTGGATTTGTTTCGCATTGTAGCGGGGTGAAGAGATCTACAAGATTTCCAAGAGTGTGTGGTCTTGATGCACACACCCCCAGGTGCTGTAACCAGGTGCACTCGTCTGCCTGCAGAAACTCTAAAGTATATCCGCCCCTCCCGGGACATCTGATCATCCACCTGGCTCCCAATGATTTCATATCGTTTCATGGCTGTTATCTATGTTCTCTGGTAACGACTACCTGAGGACTGCTCAGGCAGGTTCACTTATCATGTTTTATTGAAGGCAGTGGACTTCCAGCTTATTAGTCACTACAGCTACTCCTTTACTGGAAGAGAGTTTCTTCCTCTAGGTATCTAAGTTTTCTCTTGGAAACATATTTGAGACTCTCTGGCATAGAGTCCTGAGCATAGAATACTGACCTATTCAGTTTTCCTTTCTCCCTTCCCTCCCTCCCACCCTTCCTTCT